TGCAATCTTCCGCACGGGCCTGATTTTCTTAATTTCATTCCTCATGGATCTACCAAAGGAGTTACAAAAAGGAGCAGCCAGGAGAAATGAGTCCTTGAAACTAATTGAAGTAGCCAGGAGAAATGCGTTCTTGAAACAAATTGAAGCAGCCATTTATAAGGTGGCATCTCTAATTTCCATGGGAGGAGATTCTTTTGTTCCTACATGCCTGGAAAAGATGCACAAGATCATGACTCAGGTCAAAAAGCATCACTTCCAAATGCCAAAGTCATCAGCTTCTAATTGTCCCAAGACTGACGGAATGGGATTTGTTTGTTCCATCTTGATAAATTTGGAGGAAATCATGAAAAGCAATGCCACCAATTTTTTCCTTTTTGCAAAGCACATAGTTGGGGCAATCCACAGGGAACTTCATGCCCTTTGGCTTTTGCAAAAGGGTATAACGCATTTGCAAAATGGGTATCAATACAAAAAGCTAAGAAGTCTTCTGGCACAAACTATCAATGTAGCATACCGAGCAGAACATGTTGTCAGATCACGTTCAGTTGTGGATAGGCCCATTTGGTATCATTTGATGTGTCTTTCAGACGTACTGGAAGAAATAAAAATCATCAAGACTGCAGTTGGCAAGATTAGAAGAGAGGTGCAGACGTCCAAGAAGATAAGTTTTTGTGCTCAGACAAGTATCAACTGCACACAATTATCATCACGAACTAATGCTTCAAATGTTGATGAAGTTGCTTTTCCCTTAACTGATGAAGCTGATGCAATTATTAATCTCCTAATGAGAGGATCACTCGGGCTTTCCATTGTCTCAGTAGTTGGAATGCCTGGAGTAGGTAAGACAACACTCGCCAAAGCAGCGTACAACAATCTTTCAGTTAAAATGCGCTTTCATAAACTAGCGTGGTGCTCTGTTTCTGATGGTACACAAAGAAGTGGAGACTTGTTACTTGATATATTAAAGTGCACTAATCCTGTTAAAGCTAAGACTGACGAAGATTTAGCTCTTGAAGTCAGGAGAAGTTTACTGAAAGAGAGGTACCTCATTGTTTTAGATGATATTTGGGAGATTGGAGCTTGGGATGCTATAAAACTGTCACTTCCAAACGATAAAAATGGGAGTAGAATTCTGCTGACGAGTCAAAATCACAACCTGGGTTTGCAAACTGGACTTCCTCATAATGTTTATCCTCTTTCTGTACTCAATGATGAAAGAAGCTGGAAACTTTTGGAAAAGATGCTATTCCACAACCATGGCTGCCCTCCACATCTATTAGGTGTCGGTCAGAAAATTGCAAGTAATTGTAAAGGACTACCTTTGGCGCTCGCTGCAAGTGCAGTTCTTCTTCGAAGGGAAGAGCAGAATCTTGATCGATGGGGACGAATTGAAGAAAGTTCAAATCCAGGCATTGCCGGCAAAGGTTTCATGGACATTCTAGAGCTAAGCTACAAACGCTTACCCGACCATTTGAAACCTTGTTTTCTTTATTTTGGCTCCTTGCAAGCTGGTAAAGAAGTTAGTGCCCAAAAGCTGATTTTATTATGGATTGCAGAAGGATTCATACAGAAGGCGGCAATTGGGAGTATTGGGAGCTTAGAAGTTCTGGGAAGGGACTACTTGATAGAGCTAATCGATCATAGCCTGGTAGATGTCACTAAAAGAAGTTCGGATGGTGGAATAAAAGCATGTCGTGTTAATGAGCTCTTGCATAGCTTTTGCGTGGAAAAGGCTCAAGAAGAAAACTTTTTGCACGTTGATTGGTCAGATCGGTCTGATCTTTCTCATGGCTCATCAACTCGAACAATGCATTACCCTTATCGGTTGTGCATTCGATCTAAATGGGAAACTTTTATGCAGCCGAAACCTATTGGTAGACATCTCTACTCTCTACTTGCCTGTTCCAAAATTAGTAGGCATCAATCCTATTTAAGATCTGTTGCCTTTGAGCATTTTCATAGCTTTAAACTTCTTTACATCTTGAATTTGGAGGGCATCTACTTGGATATTTCTTTTCCTCAAGAAATCATGTCAATAGTTCATTTGAGACACTTAGCAATCCGAGGTAGTTTTACAAGGATCCCATCATCCATAGCCAATCTTTGGAACCTAAGAAGTCTTGTTGTGAAAGGAGTACGATCCTTGATTTCTTTACCAGAAGTCATTTTGAAGATGAAAAGTTTAAAACATGTGAAAATAAGTGAAAAGGCTGTTATCTCTTTGGGTGACCATGAGCTTGAGGATTCTTCTCTGCAAGTTAATTACATCAAGACTTTTTCCACGCTAGCTCTTCATCATGTAGCAGATTCTGAGAATCTGTTAAGAAAGTTAACTGGACTTCAGAAGCTCAGATGTGTTGTTTCAGGATCACAACTGTATAGTAATAACAAAGTTCAGTTTCCAGCATCTGCCTACCTAAAAGATCTCCAGTCACTAACATTGTCTACGCTTGATTATGAAGGTCTAGTTTCTTGCAGTTGGTTGCACAATCAGTTTCAGACATTTAACTTCCCCTCAACTCTCAAGAAACTGACCTTGTATAGATTGGGACTACCTTGGAGAGGAATATCAATGATAATGCAGCTCGAGAATCTCGAGGTTCTGAAATTACGCGAACAAGCTTTTATGGGGAATAGATGGCACATGAAACTGGGAAAGGAGGAATTTCGCAACCTCAAATTCCTAGAACTGTCAAATTTAGACATCCGACAATGGCGTGGCAGCGACATTGATCCCTTCCCATGCCTTGAAGGACTAGTTGTGAAAGATTGTCACAGGCTTTTGGAGGTTCCCCTTTGTTTGGGAAGAACTGCTACCCTGCAGATGATTGAGTTGCGTCAATGCAGCGATAGTGTCAAAAAATTAGCCAAAGATATTCTAGAAGAACAGGTGGGATATTGGGGCAACAATGAACTTAAACTTCTCATCTTAGACTCTTAGCAGGTTAGTTAAATTACGGCCTTTTGTTGTTCTCAATTTAATGTAATTTCCTCTTCTTCTTCTTCTTCTTTTTTTTTCCCTTATATTATCATTTTGATTTTCAGTTGCTTGAAATTAAAGAATTTCTGAGCCGAAGGTCAGCGACCGGTAAAACTGAAATCCTCAGAGGCATTCTCGTTCCATTGTTACAGTTGGAATGACTCAGCAGTTTCAAGCATCTATATTTCTAATATGTCAATGGTCAATTCAGTACATGCATTTGCTTGAATGGACGACCGCAGAATTCAGGTTATCTGCTGCAGGTAAACTTCTGTTCTGCTGAACTATGCCCCTTAATTTGACAGCAATGACACGTGAAGGGCAAAAGAAAAACTGAAGGGATTCTCAAAATCATCTGCACCAATAGATGATAATCAGCAAACCTTTGCAGTTTGAAGTACTAGGCTGTTTTGGTTCTTTCCAGTCATGTCCAACTCCTCGTGTTTTCTTGGCTTGGTTCTGAATTCTGATGTGTATGCTGTTTTGTGGAATTATGTATAAATGTTTCCTTGATATATTGCAATTTTCTTGCTTCCTATTTTCAACTATGAGCAATGATGGAGTCAAGGGGGCTGATGGGGCCGTAACCCCGTAAGTTTTGAAAATTTTAATTTATATTGTGTAAATATATATATATATATACACAATAAAGTTGGATCCCTCAATTTTTTTTATAATTTTAGTTTATATTATGATAATTTCTATATATATATATATATGAATTAGCCACTTTTAAATTAATTTTTTTCAAAAAATTTACTTATTTTTTACGTGCCTTTATAATTAAAGTTAATATTTGATGTTTTAAATGTCATATATTTAAATGAATGAAAATCATTTTGAACATAGCATATTAAAAAAATTTTGTTAGAAAAATTTTGGCTCCCTATAAATAAAATCCTGACTCCGTCGCTGAGTATGAGAAGAGGAATGATTTGAAAATACTACATAAACACATCGACTGGATCTTTTGTCCCATTTTCGTTCTAGTTCCCACGGCATGTCCTATCTTTTACTGTATTATTGTTTTCGCTTTTCACAAATATTCTTATTTTAATTCATTTTTGCTTTCTTACGTTCCAATAACTGCCAACGGGTTAAAATATAGAATGCAATAGACTAAAAAATAAGTGATATATTTTTCTGTGATATATTTTTTTTATCTATAAAATTTTTTAGTTTATCCCGTCAATAGTTATTGAAATTTAAAGAAGTAAAAATAATTAAAATGGGATGTTTGCATACAAAAAAATGATTAATATAATAAAAAGTGGAATAGGAAGCCAACCAAAAAAAAATCCATTGGGATAAAGTATTCCATTTCTCCCCTCTTATCCAGTTAAGCACAAGAATGTACAAAACACAACAGAAGATGGGCAATCAACAAAATTTTCACCATCTATGTATTTACGTTCGCTATTCAAACTTTTTGGTGGGCGAAATCTATTAATTACATAATGCTCACTATTACATATTTAAGAATCTGTGAAAAGGAATTTTTCTGAAAAAATGTGAGAGATACTTAATTCTTAAATCTAATAAACTGGTGGTAAATTTAGATTTAAAAGACGAATTAATCTACTTGATACCCGAGTTGAGTCAACTTGGTAAGAATTTGCTCAAATTTTATTTGCCAACAAATCAAATTAAAGGGTGAACGACAAATTTTCAAAATCAATTAGAACTGGGTTCAATTAGTACAAAACTTGAAATATATATATATATATATATATATATATATATATATATATATATATATATAATCCAAGCGACTCGAGTTCAACTAGATAAAAACTCGTCTAAATTCAACTCAATAAATAAGCAAATCAAGTTTAACTACAATTTCAATTTTATTAAAAATAAGTACATGAGTTTGAATACAAGAGTGTTGGACTTGATTAATCTTATTTATAGTTCTAAGGAAATTAATCTTATACTTGAAAAAACTTTCATTTTCGGATGTGTAAGGTTTAAAATTTGGCCAATAAAATTCTATGGATTAATCTTTGTACTGACAATGTACAAACAACATCTCTCGCTCCATTCAATCATAAATTTTGAGCTTTATAACTATACATAATAATGGAGAAGACTTGTCACTAAACAAGTCTTGTTATGAAATTATGGTACCAAAAGTTGATCTCCTGCTATAATTTTTTTTTTCTTTAATTTTAGCACATCTTGATAAAAACAACCTCCAGCAAACAAATCAAGATCAGCAGAAGTTACAAAACTACTGAGAGCCCATAATGGCTAATATCACTCAATTCAAGAACTGTCATAAAAGATTGAATTCAATGGTGTTAGGGGCTCTTTGTAAGTCTTCAATATTATTCTTGTGGAACCGTTCTTGAATTGAATGGTATTAGGCTCTGTATTAGCCTCTTCATAGAAGTTAAGCATGATTGGAAAGGCCCAAAACAGAACCATACATGTTCAACAGGAAACTAACTTTTTGGATTTGCCACTTCAGTTTCATTTCACAGCCCCTCACCTGCCATTGCCTGTCAATATCAAGGTGCAGATTTTATCAGAAGAGAAGTTCATATTTGAGTGCATAACCTGAATTCCATGTCCATTCAAGCAAATTGACAGTTGATAAATAGGGATACCTGAATCAACAGAGCCACTCAGCTCTGGAATTGGAACAAGAAGAAATGTTTCTTACAAGTTTTGTTTTATCAAACTGGACCTTCGGCTGAGAATTTCCATTTCAAGCATCTGAAAGCAAAAGAAAGATATCGATGATACAGAATAGTAGAACGTGAATTCCATTAATACAACTAGTTTAAGAATGCTCACTCAGATGTCAAGTAAATGGTCGTGTATGATATTAGATGAAACAAGTGGCAAGTTCGAAATGATTTTGTCAAGGAATCAAATTTAATAAACTACCATTCAGTTTATTTATCAACCAAGCATGTTCTATGCACCTCGTTAGCTAGGAAAGTCATAAACTCATAATGAGATGAAGATTGAAATTGAGATTAATAACCTCCTATGAATCTGAGATGAGAAGTTCAAGTTCATAGTTGCCCCAGTCCCGTTGTTCTTTGAGGATCACCTCAGCCGAGCTTTTGACTCTATCGCTGCATCGACACAACTCAATCATCTGCAGGGTTGTAACTCTTTCAAAACAATGGGGGATCTCCACGAGTCTGTAACAATCTCCCACAACAAGTTGTTCAAGGCATGGGAAGGGATCATAGGCGACAGACCATTGTCGAAGGTTTAAATTTGACAGTTCCAGGTATTTGAGGTTACAAAATTCCTCCTCCTCCGGTGTCATGTCCCATCTTTTACCCCTAAAAGCTTCTTCTCGTAATTTGAGAACCTCGAGTTTGGGTAGCTGCCTGATTATTGACATTGCCCTCCAAGGCAGTCCCAATTTATACACGGTCAGTTTCTTAAGAGTTGAGGGAAAAGCAAATGTGTGAAATTGATTCTGCATCCAACTGCAAGACGCTAGACCTTCATAACCGAGAGTATACAATGTTAGTGCCTGGAGATTTTCTAGGTAGGCCAAAGCTGGAAACTGATTCTCGTTATCACAACACAGCTGTGATAATGAAACAATACATTTGAGCTTCTGAAGTCCACTTAACCTTCTTAACACCTTCTCAGGATCTGCTACATGATGAAGAGCTAATGTGGAAAAGGTTTTCATGTTACTCACTAACATAGATGAATACTCAAGCTCAAGATCATCCAGAGAGATAACAGCATTTTCACTTGCATGCACATGTTTCAAATTTCTCATCGTCCAAATTGTTTCTGGTAAACAAATCAAGGGTTGTAATCCTTTCACAGCAATGCTTCTTAGATTCCAAAGATTGGCTATTGATGATGGAATTGCCGTAAAACTACCTTGGATTGCTAAGTATCTTAAATGAACCATTGATATGATTACTTCAGGAAAAGATAAATCCAAGTAGATGCCTTCCAAATTCAAGATGTGAAGGAGTTTAAAGCTATGAAAATACTGAAAGGCAACAGATTTTAAATAGGATTGATTCCTTCTAATTTCAGAGGAGACCAGTAGTGAGTAGAGATATTGACCAACAGGCTTTGGCTTACCGAAAGTTTCCCATTTAGAATGAATGCTTAACCGGTAAGGGTAATGCTTTACTCGACTTGAGGAGCCATGAGAAATATCAGACCAATCAATGTGCAAGAACTTGTCTTCTTGAGCTTTTTCCAGGCAGAAATCGTGCAATAGATCATTAAGTCGGCATGCTTTTATCCCACCATCAGAACTTCTTTCAGTGACATCTACCAAGCTACGATTGATGAGCTCCATCAAGTAGTCATTTGCCAAAACTTCTAAGCTCTCCATTCCCCCCATTTCAGTTGTTCGCATGAATCCTTCTGCAACCCATAGCAAGGTCAACTTTTGGGCACTAATTGCCTTACCAGCTTGAAAGGCACCAAAATATAGAAAGCAAGGCTTCAAATGGTCAGGTAAATGCTTGTAGCTTCGTTCTAGAATTTCCCTGTACCCTTTGCTAGCAATGCCTGGATTTGAGTTTTCTTCAATTCGTCCCCAAATATCAAGATTCCTCTCTTCCTTTTGAAGGAGAGCCAGAATTGCAACAATCGCCAGAGGTAGTCCTTTACATTTCCTTGCAATTTTCTTTGCAACATCTAATAGATTGTCAGGGCAACCGTGGGTGTGGAATAGCATTTCTTCCAAATATTTCCAGCTTTTTTCATCAGTGAAAGGAGAAAGAAGATGAGTATTGTAAGCAAGACCAGTTTGCAAAGCTAGATTATGATTTTGACTTGTTAAGACAATTCTGCTGCCATTTCGATCTCTTGGAAGTGACTGTCTAATAGAATCCCAAGCTCCCATCTCCCAGATATCATCTATAACAACAAGGTATCTCTGTCGCAATAAACTTTTCCTGATTAGATCTGTTAAATCTTCATCACTCATATCATATAGATCTACATCTTCAACTGAAGTAATGCAGTTGACAATGTCAAGCAACAAGTCCCTACTTCTGTATGTTTCAGAAACAGGACACCATGCAAGTTTATGAAAGTGCAATTGAACCGAAGGATCATTGTATGCTATCCTCGCAAGTGTTGTCTTACCTACTCCAGGCATGCCGACTATGGAGACAACCGAAAGCTCATTTGATCCTCTTTTGAGTAGATTAATAACTGCATCTGCCTCATCATTGAAGCCCAAAACTTCATAAGATCCAAAACTATAAGTTCTTGATGATAATGGGATTCGATTGACGCTTGTCTCAGCGCTAGAAGTAGAACTTCTGTTGCTTGATGTGTGCTCCTCTCTTTTAACCTTTTTTTCAACTGTAGTTTTGATAACTTTGATTCCTTCCAGGACGTCAGAAAGACATATCAAATGATACCAAATAGGCCTATCCACAATTGAACACGCGCGGATGACACCTTCTGCCCGGTAGGCCACATCAATAGTCTGTGCCCAAAAACCATTTAACTCCTGACTCTTATGCTCGTTCTGCAAATCCATTATATCCTTAAGCATAAGAGAAAGGGAATGAAGTTCCCTATGGATTGCCGCAACTTTGTGTTTTGCAAAAAGGATAAAATTGGCAGCATTGCTTTTCATCATTTCCTCCAGATTTATCAAGAGGGAATGAACAAATCCCCTTCCATCAGTCTTGGGACAATTAGACGCAGATGACTTTGGCATCCGAACATGATGCTTTTTGGCCTGAATCATTATCTTGAGAATCTTTTCCAGGAACCAAGGAATAAAAGAATTGTCTCTCAGGAAGATGAGATTTGTTAACTTACTGATGGCTGCTTCAATTTTTCTCAAGAACGCCTTTCTCCTGGCTGCTTCAATTGGTTTCAAGAACACAGTTCTCCGGGCTGCTCCGCTCTGTGATTCCTTCGGTGCATCCATGAGGAATGAAATCAAGAAAATCAGCCCATCACGAACGGCTACAATGTCATCCCTCTCGACACAATCCACAAGATTTTCCAGGGGTAGAAATCCAACAAATCTTGCAATGATGTCATCCACTAGAAGGGCATCGCCTCGAGATATCTTTGAAGATTTAAGGAGACCAAGATACATCTGTACATCACTTGGAGTGGACGGCATTATCTCTTGTACTCTAGCAGAAAGCATAGCATTCATCCAATGAGCCATGTTTTCATCAGTAGAATCCACCTCCACCCAATACAGAAGTGACAAGCAGGCAGCAGTTTTAGTCCAAGCATGAAACATTGTCAAGAAATCTTCAAGTTCGTCATATGATCTCCCACGTCTTTTTATGGTGAAGTCAAGGAAATCTCTAGTGAACTTTAACTTCGCTGCAAGGGCTTCCATTTGCTTCTTCACATCAGGGACAATGTTCTCGCCGGTGACAACTGATAACAGTCTCTCCAAATTCACAAGGATGGAATCCGTGAATTCAAGGATCTCCTCATTTGTGTAACTAAGCTTTGATTTTGAGTTCCAAGAGTGATTAACTACAACACCAGAACAAATATTTCTTACCTCTGGCTTGAAGCCCTTAACAATTTGTAGCAAATTAGACACCAAAGTTTGCCAGTCTTCGATATCTAGTCCAAAGCTTGCAAAAAAACCAGCTTGATATAATTCAGAGCTTGCTGCTTCTAGTGTAGCTTGAGCTCTTTTCAGCTCAATAGACCCATCCCTCATGGTTTCTTGATCGTCAGCGGCCGTGAAGGTTTCCAAGCAGCAAAAGAACATTTTAACAAATTTTAATTCCAGCAGAAGACCCTTGATTTGATTCTCCATATTAGTAGAAGTCAAGCGGGATAGAGCCAACAGCTTTGAGAGCTGTTCAATAGCAGAATCAACACAAGTATGAACCACCATTCCTGTTTTTTGTTCTTCTTTCAGTCCCAAAAATTTCAATACAGATAGTTACACTTTTGTTGAGAAATTATGCAGAGACGACTGTGTGGAAATACTACAGATAAGGTGATGGGAAAGTCGTTATGCAATAACGTGCATCTCAATATACCATATGCCCAATAATTGCTGGGGTTCGCCTTGACTCATGATTTGAAAGGCTTGAAGCTTTTTATCTTGTTTATAGGATAGGAAAGGTTGTGTAAAGAAAGACTTTGGCTACGAGAAAAAAGTAATTGCCGACAACTTTGAGAGTTTAAGGCCAAAAATATATAGTGCTACTAGTTATTAAAGTTACAAAAGACGACGACTATGAGAGTTTAAAGCCAAAAAAATGGGCCTCTCGGGCACAAGTTGGCTGGCTATGGGATAACCTCATCAGACCCAGGTCATGTGGTCGATTCTGACTCTTCTATCGTCTCGAATCTCTTAAGGAGCGGGGTCAGGACATAATGAAATTAATTGAGCTAAAGGTCCGAACACCCACTTAAAAAAAAAAAAAAAGCCAAAAAAATAGTGCTACTAGTTAAAGTTTAAAGATGAGTTCCTGATTAGCTTTAGAGATTATTTCAAAAACCTCCCTAAAGGTTTGTAACGGTATCACTTAGCACCTCTGAAGTTAATAAAAATCACTTGCCTTCTTTAGAGATGATTGCAAAAACCCCCCTAAAAGTTTGTGACGGTATCACTTAGCACCTCTGAATTTTATAAAAATCACTTGCCTTCTTTAGTTTTAACCTATTTATTATAACGTTATTATCAACTCACTGTAAAATATATTATTAAAAGACTTATTTGTGGATAGAGAATACATTTTGATTTCTAATATTATCCTTTTCTTGTGAATCATTTTGTTTTTATAAGCAAACCTAATTAATTCCTTGGCTTTTAAAAACTTAGCTGATATGGTTTGTTAATTAGGAATTACAAGGTTGAAAAGCCTATTAATAATTTTTTGTGTCATTAGTTTGCACAAGAAATATAATAAAATTTTGAAATTCTAGATAATTTAGAAAACTCATGGAAGTTATTCGAAAATTCTATAATAATGAAACTTTGTACCTTGAATACGCCTCAAATATTCTAGAATATGTAAGCAAGAAATATGAGACTAGAAAATCAAAAGAGTAAAAGGGAAAATAAATTCTCATAATAGATTAATGTTTGATGCTGTTGATAGTACTTTTATAGATAATCTAAAACCTTAATGGATTTGTTTGCAAAGAGATTGTCAATCACTTATCTTGAGGATTTCTTTGATAATTTTGTACAATTATAAGGCAAAAATCTTTTTTTTTATATAATCATAACCTATTAATCGTCTTTTATTAGAGAGTATGACTTGACCCACATTTGCAAATATCATAATCCGACCCATGTACAATTATAAGGCAAAAATCGTTTTTTTTTATATAATCATAACCTATTAATCGTCTTTTATTAGAGAGTATGACTTGACCCACATTTGCAAATATCATAATCCGACCCATGTTACGCCAGGAATTTGAGAATATGCCGAAAGGAGCTTTCTTGAAATGATAAACAGTTAAAACTCTCCTAATTTGGTGCACTAATTTGTGCACTTCTCACTGGAATCTTAACAAGAATTCCCCCAAGATACACCAAATCTCAAATGCTTAAAGCTTTTCCTTTTCCTTCATTAGTTTACCCTCCATCAGTATCAGCTCCAAGGTAACGTTTTCCCCTAGCTTTCAATTCCTTCCACCCAAGGAAAGTTTTTTTTTAAAAAAATTTTTGGCTTTGTTTTCCATTTTAAATTCGTGGGTTTTGTTTGTTTGTGATAGAAATTTTGTGGGCTTGCCTTTTGGTTAAGAATTGTCTCATAGGCGATGAAAAGATTTGCAGGTATGTCGTAAAAATGTCAGCAATAGCTACCAAGAATACAGGAATTGCAGCTGCATCGTTAGGAGTCAAGCCTCCTGCACATCCCACTTATGATTTGAAGGGAGTTATCCAACTTGCCCTATCTGAAGATGCTGGTGACCTAGGTGATTTAATTTTATTGACCTCTTATGTTAATTCATTTTCAATCTTTTAGTCCAATTGTATAGATTAGGCACATGGAAATAACGTTGGATTTTAATGTTTATGCCCTTTTTTAGACTTTTGGACTTGATAATATCAAGTGCTGCAATATGCTCTGTAGCTCAAGTTTTAGTTGATTTGGCATAGAGATTGTGGTAAAAAGCTGGAGTCTTTATGGCATAAAGAACTCAATTTTTTTTTTTTTAATTTTAGAGCCTGTTCAGTATTAATTTCTGGGATATCATCATGAGCAGTTTGTAGAAGATTGATAAAAAAGGAAAATCATGCGCAAATTTTACGGGCCTTCAGTATGCATTGGGGCTTTAAGCTATAACTATCGACTCCAAAGTCATATCCAGAAATTAAGGAATAAGTTGAAACTATCATGACAAGCAGAAAGTAATAAAAACTCTTGAATAAACAGCGAAAGGAAAGCAAGGCAGGAAGCTCACACACAGTGTAGCAATCTGAATAGTTTTGGTAGTGATAACTTTTATAATTAGATTCAACTAAGGAAAATGTATTGGTTTTAGGCTGATGCGTAGAATTTGGAGGGAAGCAAGTGAACATTAAAGCTATTTGTTTGGAGGTAAACAAGCAGTATAATTGTGATGACCTCAACTCAGGATTTAATACATCTCAATTGTTCTTATTGGGCATAATAGTCCTTACTCTTCAGAGTATAATCTGGGTGATATTCATTTACTTGTATTTCATAGCAATTCTAATTGTAAAGTGTTGCATTAAAAAATTTCATGGTTAAACTCATGAGGCTGTGTTGTGTCATTCCAAATTTAGGGGATGTGACTTGTAAGGCAACAATTCCAGTGGATATGGAAGTAGAAGCTCATTTTCTGGCAAAGGAGGATGGCATTATAGCTGGAATTGCCCTTGCTGAAATGGTATTCAATGAGGTTGACCACACCCTGAAGGTATCGACACGTTTTACATTAAGTTTTGCCTTGGTTTGGCTGGTTGAAGTGATAAAATCAGGAAGTTCATATGCATTAGGTTTTGTTTAGCCTCAATCTATTACAAGGCTACAGCTTTACATACATGGAAGTATGGTGGTTTATGATATTTGCTATGAAATGAAATTTTTGGTTTGAGAAATTAATTCATGTATAAAATTTTGTTCTCATTTGCCTTTTGATATTAGGTGGATTGGTCCAGAAAGGATGGTGACAAAATCCATAAAGGCCTTCAATTTGGCAAAGTACATGGTAATGAAATCTGAGGTTCCTATCCTTGAGTGGAACAACTATGTTAGCCATTTGAATTAACTTTTCTTGTCTTCCCCTTGTCTACATATTTCAGGGAGGGCTCACAGCATTGTTGTAGCTGAAAGGGTTGTACTAAATTTTATGCAGAGGATGAGTGGAATAGCAACCCTAACTAAGGTATTTTACTTTGTGGTGGTTTAAATAATACTGGAATGTTGATGACAAGAATTAGCAGTTTTTGCCTTTTGTTGTTGTTCTTGGGTCAATTCAAATTTGATGCATGTGGATTCATACCAATAACTGAAGAATGCCTTAAGGGTTAGATGATTCTGAGCTATGCCAAAACTATCTTCTAAGACATAAGTATTATGCGTTATCAGATGGAGTTAATACGAGCAAATATGTTCAAATTTAAGTGTCGATTACATGTTATACATAATTCTTTTTGTATTTCTAGTTGTTCAACCATACTGGCTAATTAGTGTGAAAGGCTGAGTCCATAGTTATTCCAGTGAAGAGCTTTGCTGCCAGTGGCTGCTGCTCATTTGTTGTTGGAAAATTTTGTTTAGAATATTTTGAAACTGATGATGGCGGCTGCTGTAACAGTATGAGAAGTGCTTTTCTTTTCTTTTTTTTTTTTTTGGTGATTGGATTTGATATTATCTGACACCTTGTAGGCCATGGCAGATGCTGCACACCCTGCATATATTTTAGAGACAAGAAAGACAGCTCCAGGTTTACGTTTGGTGGATAAATGGGCGGTGTAGATCACTTCTCTTCCTCTATGCTTTTGCCATACATCACATTTTTGCATGAGTTTTTTCTGACCTCCATCTCACCTTTACAGGTATTGATAGGTGGTGGCCAGAATCACCGAATGGGTTTATTTGACATGGTGATGATAAAAGACAATCACATATCCATTGCTGGTGGTGTCACTAATGCTCTAAAATCTGTTGACCAGTACTTGGCAAGTAATAATATTCAAATGGGAGTTGAGGTGATATTCCTTCACTTTTAATTGAAATATAAGACAATGAAATTGTGTCATATGCTCTAAATGAATGAAGGATTGCTTTTTGCTTAAAGGTTGAAACTAGGACACTTGAAGAGGTGAATGAGGCGTTGGATTATGCTTCTCAGTCAAAGACATCCTTGACTAGGATAATGCTGGATAACATGGTTGTCCCTCTACCTCATGGGGATATAGATGTAACCATGCTCAAAGAGGCTGTTGAGCTCATTAGCGGAAGATTTGAGACTGAGGTACTTTTATCCCTGAACTTGATTATCTAGTTTTGACTATTCAATGTCCAGTCTACTTTTTGGTGGGTGTGTCTCTAGATTTGCTAAAATCTACTTGCAGAAGTTCAATTTCCTTTGGTGAAAAGCCTCTAATAAAAACTTTCCTGCTTGAGGGAAGCAGAGATACAATTTTCATTTTTCAAGGGGTTGACATGTTGTTGAGGGTAACCCTTTTTAGTTGTTGGTACAGCGTGATCCTTCATTATGTTGTCTGAAATCAATATTCTGGCTTGCTTTTGTATCATATAATGGAGGAAAATGTTATGAATTCTCAAGTATCTTTTAGGATGCCTGAAGACTATGTTTTACTTATGCCATGGATTTTCGATCACTATTGTCATATCTTTTGCTGCGAAGAACCATGTAAAGTTTATTGGCTTGATGATTGGCAGGCATCTGGGAATGTGACTCTTGAGACTGTACACAAGATTGGACAAACTGGCGTAATGTATATTTCTAGGTAATTCTGAGCTCTTAAGAGTTTAGCTCATTCATTTCAAAGTTAGCTGAATGCCAAAGGATCAAAAAACACGTCGGACGGTAGACAGACCTGTGCAAATTTCTTCATTATGGACATGTACTTGGGTTTCATCTCAGCTGTTTCATGGGGT